GTTACTCTTCTTATTTTTGTTGTTCTCATAAGTTAAGAACTGTTCGTGTTATCAATACTCGCTCTCATTCGTACTAGTATCAATATTACTAATTCTTTAAACGCTATCGTCTTTATGGTTATGATTTCTCTTATTCGGAATCGTGTCATACCTAGTGTTGCTAGTGTTGCTGTTGTTGTTGTCCTTGGTGTGATTATTGTTGTTGTTGCTGTTCGGTAAGGCGTTGACACCGGCCCCGGCTTGTTGTTGAGATCTTCTTCTTCTCTCAGAACTCAAGTGCTTATCCTCAAGGGTAAGCAAAGCTCCAGCAACCGAGGGCTTGCCCCACGGGGCCGGAGAAGGGGTAGTCACTGGGGCGGCAGCGCAAGGTGCCCCACGGGGCCGGAGAAAGGGTCGGCAGTCCTGGCGCGTTTCCAAAGGTTTCCCCAAGATTTCCGCGAATTCTTTCAGATTCCTTTGGATTCCTGTGGACCCCTCCAGACTCTCTAAGATCTCCAAGGAATCCCTAGGACCCCCCAGGATTTCTCGGGATCCCTCAGGAGCCATTCCGCGGGACCCCCGAGGATTCTTCAAGATCTTCCAAGATTCCTCAGGCTCCTTCCAGAGTCCCCAAGATTCCTCAGGATCGGGGCTCAAGAGACGGGGGTCGGTGCAAACGGGGGTCAGTCAGGGCACCGGATCCTGCAGGATCCTGTGAAGACCCCCTCTGGCTGACCCGGGTTAGCGAGCCGCTCGTGGCCGCGAGGCGGCCGCGCATATTGGCCGACCCGGGTTTGCGAAGACCTGCGCTGCATTTGTTTCATGTATTTCAATTTTTTTGTTCCCCCCTGACCCGGGTTGGATTGGCCCAGGTCAGAAGATCCCCGACAGGATCCCCCAGTAATCCTTGGGATCCCAAATGATTCTTCAAAATCTCCCCATGGGGTTCTTTCTCAGGATTCCGTTGGGCTCCTGAGGAGTATTCAACATATCTTCGAATTCTTCAGGACCCCCAAGGATTCCTCAGGACACTTCAGGATTCCTCAGGATCCACCATGTCTCCTCAGGACGCCTACGGACTCATTGGGATTCCCCATGGTTCCTCAGGATTCCCGCAGGGTACCCTTCAGGATTCCTCATTATTCCTTATCCTTAGGGGCTCCTGAGAGCTCCCCAGGGGTTCCTGAGGATCCCCTAAGGGGTCCTGAGGACCTCACCCCCCCTCCTCCCCCCAAGGGGTCCTGAGGATGCCCTCGGGGCTCCTGGGGATGCTCTAAGGATTCCTGAGGATTCCCTCGGGATTCCTGGGGGTTCTTTAAAGATTCCTGGGGATTCCCTCTAAGGGCTCCTGAGGATTCCGTGATTCCATCGGGATTCCTGAGGATGCCCTGGGGGGTCTTTCGGAGTCCCTAAGGGGTTCTGGAGGATTCCCGATGGGGTTCCTTTGAAGATTCCCTAGGCATCCTTGAGGGTTCCCTAGGGATTCCTGCGGATCCCCTATGGGGGTCCTGGAAATTCTTTAGGGGGTCCTGAGGATTCCTTCTGGGTTCCTGAGGATCCCCTACGGATTCCTGAGGATTCCCGAGGGGGTCCTGGGGATTCCCTAAGGGGCTCTTGACGACATCCTCAGGATTCTGGAGGATTCCCGAAAGGGGTTCCCTTGAGCTTTCCCGAATGGGGCTCCCGAGGGTCCCTCAGGAACTTCTGAGGATCCACTATAGAGGATGTCCTGGGGATCCGCCGCCGCCGCCGCCGTCGTCGTGAGGGTCCTTGAGGGAATCTTTAGCTTTCGTCAGGGGTTGCGAGGGTCCCTGAGGGTGTCTTGGCTGCACACGGGGCCGGAGAAGGGGGTAGCGCACGGGGGGGGCGTTTTCTGTGGAGGGAACAGAACAGATGACGGTGCACACAGGGCTGGAGTGTATGTTTGCCCACCGCGGCGCGACACCGCCGCTGATGGCCTCTCGCAAGGCCGGAGAAATTGTCGTCACACAGCGTCTCAGGACGGGGCCGGAATGTGCGCCCGTCCACCGGGGGAGTGACACCGGAGGCTCCGGCCCTGCCCGGGGCCGGAGTGTACGCCTTTCCGTTACTGCTGTTGAACATTATTATTTCTAAAGAATAATTATTGTTGGGACCCCTGGTGCACGGCCCCCTCGCCGCGCCTAGGCCGCAGCCATGTTTTCATCATTTTCGTGAGGAAGTCTCCGGCAAAACGGGTTGGTCCGGATCCGATTGTTTTGTTCCCCCCCGCTTTCCCTTGCAAAAAACAATATAAAATGACATTTCTTGTTCTAACATAACCAAACTTCAAGAATCCCTTGCAAAAAATAAGGTAAAGTGGACATTCGCGCGCGCAAGACGAAATCCTTCCAAAACCTTAGTGTTCGTAGCGATTTTAACATAAAAACATCAAAAAAAAAAAAAAAACAATTGTTTTTCAAAAAAAAGTATTAAAAATTCATCCCGCGCGCTCTTGCGGATTTGTAGGAAACCCACCATTTTTTAAACATTTCTGTCAAACGGGCTTTCGCGAGCAACTTTTTCACGTGCTTCGAACTTCTCCAACAACGGTTGCGCACCTGCCAGGGCCCCCGCCCTACGATTTGTCAACCAAGCCCTACCGACGCCCCCCTCCTGGCCCCGGCATCCACACCCCATGGAGCCTTTGTTCTTGGGGCCCCCTCCACCCTACGATTTCTCGCCCAAAACTTACCGATGCCCCCCTCCTGGCCCCGGCATCCCCACGCCATGGAGCCTCTGTTCTTGGGCCCCCCCCACCCTACGATTTCTCGCCCAGGCCCGGAATGCCCACCCCATGGAGCCTTTGTTCTTGGGATTCCCACCCTACGGTTTCTCGCTCAAAACCTACCGATACCCCCCTCCTGGCCCCGCATCCCCACGCCATGGAGCCTCTATTCGTGGAGCTCCTCACCCCACGATTTCTCGCCCAAAACCTACCGACGCTCCCCTCCTGGCCCCGGCATCCCCATCCCATGGAGCCTCTGTTCTTGGGACCCCCCACCCTACGATTTCTCGCCCAAAACCTACCGATACCCCCTCCTGGCCCCGGCATCCCCACCCCATGGAGCCTCTGTTCTTGGGGCCCCCCGACCTACGATTTCTCGCCCAAAACCTACCGATGCCCCCCTCCTGGCCCCGGCATCCCCACCCCATGGAGCCTCTGTTCTTGGGTTTCCCACCCTGCGATTTCTCGCCCAAAACCTACCGATGCCCCCCTCCTGGCCCCGGCATCCCCACCCCATGGAGCCTCTGTTCTGAGAGAGAAAAAAATGAAAAAGGAGAGAGAGAGAGAGAGAGAGAGAGACAGAGAGAGAGAGAGGAGAAAAAACACGATCGCACACAAACGCGCCCACACATACACAAGCGCCGTCCACCCCGGCACCCGCTCGTTCCGTATCGCGTTCCCGCTGCAGCGCTGCCCGCGTCGTCACTTACTCAACATGAAAACCGCCCTCCTCACTTCCCCGCTGTTGCGGGAACCGCTCGCAGCGACACTGAAAACAAACGCAACACAAGGCCTCATTTGGGGTCGGCGGCAGAGGCGGCAGCCTTTTAAATTTTCCTGCCTATTTTCACCTTCCTCCTCCTCCTCCTCCTCCTCCTGGGGTATGTTTAAACCCGTGGCACCCCGAACGTCCCAATCTCTAAGTCTCCGATGTCGAACCGGAGGGTCGGGCTGATCTCCTGGAGCCTGCGTATGAGCCTCCATTGCCCCGTCTCGAGCAAGTATGTAGCCAATCTTCGTGTGCGTTTGCTCCCGTGGGTGTTCCACGAGATGAGGTCGCCGTCAGTCTTTGTGCCCACGATCTCCTTAATCGCTTTGCTGATGCGGCCCTGGATGTCCGCCATCGCGGAACTCTGAAGCCCCTGCGGGGGTACGAGGGCAGGGCAGCCTCTGGAACCGTTCGAGCCGATCGAGGAGGAGGAGGAGGAGGAATGATGAGATAGGTAAGTGGAGGAGGAAGGAGGAGGGAGGAGCATGAATGGTGAGAGAGGACAAGAGGGAACCTGCAGTGGGGAAGGGATGCGGAGGAATGAGGATGGAGAAGAAAAAATGATGAGTAGGATAGGGGAGGGGTGAAAGGAGGGAGAATAGAGGAATGAGGAAGAAGGAGGAAGGAGGAGGGAGGAGAAGGGAGGGTTGCAGCATGAAAGAACGAGGAGGAGGAGCTTGAGGTGGAGGAGCCGTTCGGTCGCTTGGAGTTGCTCTCTCGCCTCGGCCACTCGGCCACGATGGTTTGTTTGATTTTTTGTTTTTGCCACCCTACCTTCACCAGGTGATGAAGTACTGGGTCCTGGCCATGCGTTCGTACACGTGGCACCTGGGGCATGGGGTAAGATCTAGATGCAAACTTTCGGCGCACCCCTCACACGGATCTTACGGGGAGACGCGGCCCACCGTTTAAGTATGCCCTGGGCGGCCATGGGTAGCCGCATGCATGGCCCCACCTGAAGACCAGGCACGTGATCTCCGAGAGGCCAGGCGGCCCCTCGAAGCCGAGTTCCAAACTTCTGCCGCCTGGAATGATCCAGACAATGCCTTCCAGCTTGATCGTATCCATGACGAAAAACGTGTCCGTCGAGTTGGGCGGGGCGTGCCACCCACGTGGCGTCCATGGGGGAAGGGGTTGGCCTCGAAAATAAGGGAAGTGCCACGGTCGTGGGATCGGGTACGCTGGCACGGTGAGGATTTGGGCCAAACTTCTCATGCTGTTCATCCCGATCATCCTCATGCCCATCATGACCATCATTATCATGATGGTGATGCTGATTATGACGATGATGGTGATGGTAATGGTGATGACACCGATGATGGTTCGAGGGAGACGTGATGATGACGATGATGATGATGAGGGTGATGAAGTTGATACTGATAATTGTGATGGCACTGATGGTGATGATAATGATCATGACACTGATGATGATGATGATGATGATGATGATGATGCTGCTGCTGATGATGATGATGATGATGATGATGGTGGTGATGGTGATGATGGTGATGATGATGATGATGAGAGTGCGTGCACAGTAATGACGACACGGGGGCCGTACAGTGACACGAGTAGGGGGAAGGTAGCAGGAGCATCGCGTGCCTCGCCCGTCCCGTGCTCATAGCCTTCTGTTGTTCAGGAGGTTCGCGCGCGCCGCCCGCCGCCGCCGCGCCAGCCCGTGCATGCCCAAGTGGCTGTCGGACGCTGTGCTGGAAGCTGCGCGGGAGACGCTGCGGACGGCGGGCACCGCGAGCCTGGTGTGGGCTGGGCAGACCGCGCAGGTGTGCCCCGACTGCACCTGCTCTCCCAGCCTGGCGTGCCCTGCAGTGCCCGCCCTGCACGCTCGGGGGCGCGGCCTGCCCGAGCTGTCCGGAGGTCAGCTGCCCGAAGGCGGCGCCCGACCTCAGCAGGTGGTGGATCGTCGCGGTGGTGGTCGCGGGCCTCTTCGGGCTGGCGACGGGCTGCTGCGCTGGGGCCTTGTTCGGCTCGGGGCTTCGCCGGGCGGTGCATGGCCGATTCGAAGCCGATCGCCCCAGGTCGCTTGATTCTGGTGTGGTACGGGGGCGGGGAGGCGCACTGGCACGAGCGCCTCCTGCTCTGCAAGGTGCGGGGGACGACGTGGGTCATCGTCACTCGTGATGGCGATGTCTATCCAGAGGACATCCGGGCCCTCGGAGGCAAGCCGTGCCTGCAAGGGTCCGTTCCGCCGGCGATCCCGGCCAACGCTCTGCTGCACAGGTTCCCGCCGCTCGGCCAGCTGCACACGGCGGCGGAGTGGTGACGGATCTTCGACGACCGGATCGCGACCGCCCAGATGGAGAGGGCTGGGTATGAGGGTCGGAGTTGCGGGGGGGGTCGGGCCGTCAAAAGGTAGGTTTCGGCTGCGGGGGCCCTCGGGCGCGTCGTCGGCACGATGCCGAACGATCGGGCGCTCATTGTTAGCTGTTTTGCCTCCGGGCACGTTTCAGTCGCGATGGCGCACCGCGGAGTTGAGTGCGCCCGCCTCGTGCAAAGCCGATATCTATAAAATCTACATCTCCATGTATACGTATAGGAGTGCATCCCATTCTCCATCGCCCCCCTCATGTAATTCCCTCTCTCCTTCTCGCTCACTCTCTCTCCCCCCGTCTTTCCGGGCAGACGGGCCGCCGAGCCTGCGCCCGTCAGTGCTTTCGGACCCGAACGCTTTCCGGTTCGCACCGGGGGGAAAAAGGACTGGGGGGGGCAGGGCGGGGGCGCGAGCAAAAGTCCAACCTGAGTGCCGGGGCAGGAGTGCGATTTGGAACGCGGAAAAAGTGGGTACAGAAACCGGAAGGTGGGGAGAAGAAGGGGATAATGAAGGGGACGAATAGGAGAAGGAGGAGGAGGAGGAGGAGGAGGGGGAGGAGGAGGAGGAGGAGGAGGAGGAGGAGGAGGAGTTGGAGCAGTAGGTGGAGAAAGAGAAGAAGAAGGCGGAGGAGGGGGCGGGGGAGGAGGAACGCCGGCAGGAGGAGGAGGAGGAGGGGGAAGATGGGGTGAGGGTGATGACGAGGAGTGGAAGGAGGAGGAGGAAGAGGAGGAGGTAGAGGAGGCAGAGGAGGATGAGGAGGAGGGATGGGCAATATACGAAGGATGGGTGGGAGGGCGATGGCGAAACGGGCGGGCGAGGGCGGACTTCGGTTGGGCAGGCGTGGCAGCCCGAATCGATCGGTCCAGGGTTTTTCATTGCATGGTGGGCTACAGTTCTGTGTGAGGCAACGGACCTGGGCGAATGGTTTTCGGGGAAGCGGGCCGGGCCCCCAAAGCCGCAAGCATCATCAGGCGCTTGGCACATGGGGGCTGTCGGACGGGCATCGCGCAACTATTTCGATCACAGCCCGCGTGGCATCGAAATGAGACTGGAACAGTATCTCACGCGCATATCACCCCAGAGGGGTCGGCGGACTGGTGAAAAACGCGAGCAACTAGGACAAACAACAATGCACCAGCAGCATTGCATCATTGCATCTTTGCATCAATTTAAGCACGCCTGTAAGCGTAAGCCTGCCAGCAGCCTGTCACGCGTGCCCTGAAGTGTAGCAGCGGCAGTGCTCTGGTTCGAAACGTCTGGCACCAGGGCCGTCCCATGGATATCGATATCGGATTGCCTGATGTGCACCAGTGCCCCATTGGGCGGCGTCCTCCGGCCCATGGGGGCGAGAAGCGTAAGCGCAAAAACGCTTTGCCCCAGCAGGTGTTGATCGTCCATCAGGACGATAAGGTTTTGCGAGTTCTCGGTGCTGCGAGGTTGACGTCGGTTCAACGGCTTGGCCCGGAGACGTATGCGAGGGCAATAGAAGTCCAGCGGCGCGTGTTCCAAGATCCCGACCTACTGGCATGGCAGATTGAGGACTTCAGGTTGCTCCAGATCGACCCCAGGTGGACCTTCACACCCAACGTTGATCTGGCTACTGCAAATGTCGCCTTCCCAAAGAAGACCCAAGTCGTGAAAAACACCCTCAACGCATGTGACCTGCACGACTGGTGCAAGTGTTTCAAGATACATGCCAGCGTTGCCTCCGTTTGGAGAGGTCACTTGGACATGCCATGCATCATTGCGCCTGCATCTTACTGCTTGGCGATGGGCGTAGAAACGCCCGCGTCGACACTTGAAGCAGTGGGTGCCGCTGCCCCTGAATCGGAGGTTGTTGCCGACGTGGGCGTTTTGCGTCTGCGACAGACCACGCAGCCTCGTGGGCGCGGCGGGCAGTTCTCCTTCAACCCAGATGTTTTGCTGCGTGCGTGGTTACTCCTGAGCTCCGTGCGCTCCAGTGGCCTCTCCTTGAAGGCAACGATTTTGAGAGCCATGCGGCTCGCGATTGAGCCCGAGCAGTTCGCGGCAATCCAGCGCATGATCGATTCCGGCGAGCTCTGGCTGCCTGGCCTGACCTGCATGGAGGCCGTCGAATACAAGGTCAACTTGATAGATTTGCATTTCCAGAGGCACGCCATATCGAGCACGTCATACAGTCGCCATTGGATGGCAGATTCAAGCCCGCAGCTGGGTTTCAATTATTTCGCCGTAGTAGAGGAGCCTGGGGCCCATCATCTATCAAACCTCAAACCCACGCACACTCCCAAGGTTAGAACCATTGGCGAAGAGAGGATTTGGAGGAGGAGGAGGAGCAGGGACGTGGGGAAGGAAGAGCGGGAAGAGCAGGAGGAAGGAGGGGCTGAATAGGGCGGAGGAATTGGGGGGACGAAAAGATTTGCCGTCGCTGCGACGCTGGTATCAGGACCTGGGGGGCGCACGGCGGTGAGAATCCTATGCCCCTGCCGCGTGTTCAGGATATGGGGGCTGAGAAGTGTGAGAACCCCAGTGCCCGCCGCAGTCCGGATTCCCGGAATTCGGATATACGTACCGCCATGTTTCTCCATGACTACTTCCTCCAGGATCGGTTGGAATACCCGGCGGGCACGCCTGCAGGCGCATTGGTCAACCTCCCCATCTGTGGCAATTTCAGGTCTAGGCACCTTCCTTTTGTGACGCTCGGTCGTGGGCGGGCAGGGGTTGCGTACAAGAGTCTCGCACTGCATCACATGCTGGGCTTGGAAACTGGCGCGTGGGCTAAGTTCCAGGCGGCGAGGATGCAGGTTCGTACGTGCACTTCTGACCAAGGCGTGGAGCAGGACGTAGTCGATTCAGCTTGTATGTATTCCGAGAACTTTCAGAACACCGCGGAGGTTCACGAATTAGCTTTGAGTGGACAGCTTGTTGGCCAGGCCCCCACGAATTCTATGATCATGGCTTTCCTGTTACCTCGGACGTTATTTTTCGCAGATTGTTTACATGTGATTTTCAACAGCTTGGAGGCTGCTGTCACAGAAACTGATTGCTGGAAAGAGGTAGGGGGCCATTTTGTTTCGATTGCGGCTTTCTTGTCAAACAGGGACCTGCGATGCCGGCTCGTCGAGGTGTGCTTGAGAGGGCACCCCCAGAGGATGAGTTTCGAGGCGTGGTCCATCAATCAGAATTTCAATTGGAAGTGGGAGTATTTGTCTAACTTTCTAGATTGCTTGGTGCCGTTGATACAGCCTTTGCAGTCCACATTTAAGCTGGAACCTTTTCTGGGCGATTTGAAATGGAGCAAAAAAGACAGTGATACCGCGGTTCGGCTCCACAGCGCAATGAGTTGCAACAAACTGCATGGGGTCGCGCTGGCCCTCCAATCGTTGTGCAGTGCCATCAAGCGCGCCGTGGGTTGCTTGGAGGGTTGCCGATGCCACGAACACTTACTCGAGCGTGGCCGCGGCAATCCCGATTCCTTTAGGAGCAGGCTGGCAAAGTGCAGACAAGCTGCGAAATCGTGTCCGTGGAGCGGTCGAAGGGCAGTGGAGCTCGTCACCCATGGGCTCGACCCTTTGTTGAAGTTAGTGCGAGGCGCAGGCGCAAAGTCGTACAGGAATTTCCTGGCGTCCGAGAGTTGCACCGCGGAGCTGCGCGGCATCCTGGTGAACCTTTTGGACGAGTTGAAGACCAAAATCATTGCCAGTTGGACTCTCAAGATGCAGTACCTTCTGTGGCTGCCCTTCAAAATGCTAGGTGTTCTGAGCCACGTTCTTCTCGGCGAGCCTATTGAGCGCGCCCGTGAGATTTGTCGAGAGTGCGTTCAGGAGCGGGATGCCATTGTAGGACGGGGCGACGCCCATAAGTTACACAGGGTGACATCTTTCATGCTTGTGGGCGAGACGAACCCCAGGCGAATCGAGTTGGAAAGATTCGCCGCTGGTGGAGGACTGGGGGCCACAGCCCACGCTGAGCTACTGCAGTACGCACTTGCTTCCTTGATTACTCGGAAAGTTGAGGCTGTCCACTCCCGGGTCCACCATCATGGGAAGAAGGTCGCATCGCGACTCCCTTCTTTGATAAACTCCAGGGTCAAACGGAAGGAGTTGCTCGAGATGTTGGATGCCCCTCGGTTCTTCGCCTTCGCCGTCGCGACCTACCGGAAGCGGAACCTCGCCAGGGGTTTGCTCGAGTTCGTCACGCCGCCGAGGTTGAGGTTTCTTGTCCCAATGTGATGATACGTTTTGCCGTCCACTCGCCCGCGGGCCCACCCTCGTGCCTTCTGCCCCCGCCCCTGCGGCCCGGCTCATTTCAGACAGTCGCGTGTGAAGGTAAATTGCAGTGAGCGCGCACAGCAACACATTCACAACCACAGGGCACGCAATCCTTCCGCCCAGCCGCGCTGAACAACCATGCAGAGCATAGGTCACCCCAAGCTACATGCAGCAAGCCCATGCCCTAACAACAGCAACGTGCATACACAATAGCACTATTAGTTTGTGTTTGCAATGGGTGTTTGCCTCCTGCAAGGTGGAGGGTGTCTACTTTAACGGTGCCGCCGTGCAGTCAAAATGGGCGTCGAGGTTTGCGCGTCTTCGGCTTTGCGTTCGTCGGAGCTCATAAACCACTCGGGAAAAGGAGGGGCCAAGTCGAGGAGGGCGGGGAGGGGTGGGAGCTGGGCGGGCGAGGAGGGGGAGAATGTGGCGGAGGGTCCAAAGTCTCCAGCGCTGTGGATCGTTGTTGTCTGGGTCCCTGTGGCTTCCCATGCCATCCTATGGCCTCCCGCTCCATATTGCCTGGGTGCTAAGGTCGGCTTGTGTCGCTGCGTTCCGAGGGCGGGGGGGGGGGGGGAGAGGAAGAGAGGGGGGACGAGGGAGGAGGAGGGGAATGGGGAGGGAGGGGCAGGACTATCGACGCGAGCGCGGGGGAGCAAGGCTCGAGATAAAAGGAGGAGGTGGGGGAGGTGGCTGAGGAGGGGAGTGGGGGGAGGAGGAGGATGGGGGCATTTCTTCGAGCGAAAAAAATCATCCAAGGAACGGTTGCATGCCTGATGTGGTCCAAACATGTGTGCTGGTCAATCGATTCAGTCTCTGGCGCGAACGGGCATTGCCGCGGCAAGGTGCGTATGTCACGGAATACCTCTTGGAAGCGGTGTGGTAATGAATCGCGTTGTTCAGAGATGATGTATATTGGCCGAGAGGTGGCTTGGAACACGAAGTGCATATCGAGATTGCACCGTAAATCGTCAAACACGGCGTGGTTCAAGTGCAGCTGCCAGGCCAGCTTGGACTGGTGCACGGAGTAGGAGAGGAGGAAGAAGAGGATGACGAGGAGGAGGAGGAGGAGGAGGAGGAGGCCGAGGAGGACGAGGAGGAGGACTGAGGAGGAGGACTGAGGAGGAGGAGGAGGAGGAGGAGGAGGAGGAGGAGTACGGAGGAGGAGGACTGAGAGGAGGGGGAGGAGGAGGAGGAGGAGGAGGAGGAGGAGGAGGAGGCCGAGGAGGACGAGGAGGAGGACGAGGAGGAGGACGAGGAGGAGGACGAGGAGGAGGAGGAGGAGGAGGAGGAGGAGGAGGAGGACGAGGAGGAGGAGGAGGAGGGATGAGGAGGTGGAGGAGGAGGAGGAGAATCCCCCCCTGCCACCCCCATGTGGACAAGCGTACGGGGTCGTTCGAAAGTATTGGACTGGCGACGGCATCGATCGTATCCCCATTGTTCGCGTGTAAGTCTCAGACGGGCCAAAGCCGAAGATTCGTTATGTCCCTTTCGATTGATAACCGTGCCAAGGCCCAGCTGATCCGGGAACATTTGTTCTTGTATTCTTCGGAGGCGCAGTTTAGGGGCGTTGTTTGCGAGGTGTCTTTGCACAAGCAAGTCGTGGATGACCTTGCCCTTTGCACCAAACCGAGCGACAGTCCGCCGCTCGGGCCTTCAGCTACGATGATGGTGCAGTTCATGAAAGATCATCTCTCTCAACCGGAGTGTTTGTGGAGCGTGCCTGCAGAGATGCTCGGCAGGGCTGCCAGGGCTGCTCTCCCAGGTAGTTTGCACGCTCTGGCTGACGACATCGCGGCAGCTTGCAACGCTCCAAATGTCGATTGGCAACAGCCGCAGGATTTGGCTTTCGTGAGAGTGCTTGAAGCGAGGCCCGAGAATCGAAAGCTCGCGGCGTCCTTGGACGCAGAGAATAACAAGTGGTGCATTCGGCTGCAGAGGCTGGAAGTCCGGAGCGCTTTGCCTGAGTACAAGGCCGTGCACCTCACGGAGACGGCAGCGAGTCCACACGATGTTGACTTGGCCAACTTTTGCGCGCTTGCGGACATCGGTAAGATCTTCAGGTGGCGCATTGTTATGAAGGCCGCGCGGCCTGAGTTGAGGGAGGATCTGACCGCGCGCCTGGACACTCTGGGCGCGATGATGCCAGCGCGTCAGGATGACGTTCCCATAGTTTCACAGCCGGACTTGGAAGCAGGCATCGGCGTGCCTGCGAGTGACGGTGCCCTGGCCCTCAGGACGAAAGGCATCATGGCTAATTTCTGCCGTTGTGTCCATGGCGCCAATATCGAAGTCGTGGACCAATGGGTGTCATGTCTGTCGATGGAGACATATGACTTGCACACCCTCAACATCATGATCGACTTGGGCATGCTCCAGGAGGCCGTGGATGACTTCGGCGAGCGGATGGTGAAGCTCAGCCCTGATGCTTTGGTTTGGACGCCGACCAAGGTGGCGCGCAGGGAGGAGGTGATGCCGAATATCACTCGAGAGACAGGCGGCGAGATCGGCCTCCCATCATATATGGACGCGTTGGCACGGCATTGAAGCACGCGAGACGCGGTTATGCATGTGCAACGCCTGCTCCAGGTGTCCAGGCTTGCACTGTGAACTGAAGTCTTGGTTGCTTCGATTCCGGCCTCCGTTCAATGTTGATCGAAAGGCTGGTGTCGCAGGCAACGAACAAACCCCAACTGCTCTGCGATTTGATTCGCCAAGGGTGGGCTTTGAGTGATGAGCAGCTGGCAGAGCACACTGCGACGAGCAGGCGCCTTGTCGGCCGGGGCGCCTTGACTTACCAATCCTCCTTCTTGAGGGCCCTTGAGGGCGTGCAGGGCATTCTGGCGAAAGGGTTGGACGGCATCCGGGCGAGGCAGTGCGATGGCTATTACAAGTGCTTGCTGGCATTGGAGGACCTCGCGGGGCTTCACGAGAAGGGCGACTTCCCGCGCTACGCCAACAAACACTTCCTCGCCATCGCCGCCGGATTGCTCCCTCCAGTGCTTCCTGCTGGCGAGGCCGCGTTGGCGCTGGAGGATGGCCGCGTGGGCGACGAGGTGGAGGCCCCTGCGGCCCTCTGCGACCAGCCGGCGGTGGCCGCCGTCCCAGAGGACTGGCTGGCTGGCGCAGATGCCGCGCACGCAGTGCCGACCTTTGCCATCCCGGCGGTGGTCATGAAGGACGGCCTCAAAGTGCATTTCGACAACTGCACGCACTCGAGTGGGAAACGCAGAGCCCTCTGCGTGTGTAGATGCACGGGTCTCCACGGCCCCCGGTGCGAGAAAGACGTCTTCGTGGCCGACCATGGGGGCAGCCCGCAGCGGGCCGCTGCCTGGTTGGCCGCGTGGGAGGCCATCGGGCCTTCTTGCGCCAACAAGGCCGCGCATCTCGCCGGGGTCCCCGACCCGGGCGATGTCGAGGCGCGGTTCTTGGAGATCCAGGGGCTTCCTTGATTGTCTTAGGCTGTGCGCGTGCTCTCAGAGAAAAAATCAAGGTTCGGGTGGCGCCGGGGCCCATGCGGACTCCCTTCGGCGCCCCTGGCGTCATTCCCAAGAAATCGCTCGCGGATTCTTGCGGATTCTTGTGGATTCGCTTGCGTTTCCGCCAGGAGGTCGTCGCGGATTCTCGCGGATTCTTGCGGATTCTTGTGGATTCGCTTGCGTTTCGGCCAGGAGGTCGTCGCGGATTCTCGCGGATTCTTGCGGATTCTTGTGGATTCGCGTCCGGCGGGCGCCCCTTGTGTGTCCTGCGTGCGAATGAGGGCCACGAGGTCCGCAGATGGCGGTGACAGCGCGCGCCCGTGTGCCTGCGCGCATCTGTGAGCTACTGTGACAGCCTGTGAGCGCCGGGACGCCTGCGGGCGTTCCCACCAGTCCGTACGATCACATGTTGCCGCCTGGGGATGCCCGTCGGCGCATCCAACCGCCTGCAGGCTTCCCCAGCAGGTCGGGAGTTCCTTGACATGCCTGCGAGCGCCGCCGCGCGCCTTTGAGCGCCTGCCCGGCAGTGCCTGTGAGCGCCGTTGCGCGCCTGAGAGCGCCCGCGCGATAGCGCTTGTGAGCGTCTGTAAGCAACTGCCTGGCGAGTGCCTGGGAGCGTCACCGCGCGCCTTATAGTTGAGCGCCTGGTAGTGCGTGTGAGTGGCTGCAACGAGCTGGTGAAGGCCTGTCCGCGCCTGTGTGCTCCCCCCCGCCAGTCCGAATCCTTGGCCACGCGCGGGGCTGCTGCCCCCCGGTCCGCTCCCATATTCATTCGCAGGGCCTCCCCGTTTGTCTCACCCACATGCGCTAATAGCAGATGCAGCATCGGCCCCATTGCGTGCCTTACCTTGCCTTGCCTCCTCTTCCTCGCCCTCCTCCTCGTCGTCTTCCACGTTCTCCCGCGTGTTCCTCCTCCTCGGCCATTTCGTCCTCTCTCGTTTTGTATAGTCTGATTGGTTGCAGACTGCAGGTTAAGTGGGAGGGGGTGTGGGCTCAGGTAGCCATTTTGGGTCCGTAGCGTTCGGCTCAGACCGACGCGCGGGTGCTCCGGGGGGCCGCGGGGCGGCCATAACCACAGCCGTGCTAGTCCGCGGACTAGGGGGCGCTGCTGTGGTGCCATGGCTGTGGGCTTCCTGGGAGCGCACCTGATGATCCTGGTTATGGGCGGTGCTTTCACGGTCCAAGGGGCACTGAGCTGGCTGCCATTCGGACGCGGGGGGAATGAGGTCCCAGCGCCGACGCCGTCAGCCCTGCCCGGGCCGTCAGCCCTGCCGACAGGCGGTGGAGGGCAAGGCAAGGGGCGAGGACCGCCCGCCAAGCCTGCGCCTGCAGGGGGAAAGGGGCGAGGGCCGCAGGCCAAGCCCCCGCGGGCGCCAGGCGCCCCCGCGCCGCCGCGGTCAGGGTCGACTACAACGACCACACCTGCGGGCATCGGGCGCGTAGGCAAGGGCGAGCCCACGGGCAGCCCGGCTACGCCGGCATACGGAAGGAACGACGAGCCCCCGGGCGCGCCTGGGCAGCCATCCGCCCCGGGAAACCGGACGGGCGATGGCGAGCCTGACCAGCCGCGCGGGCTGGACGGATATTGGGGGTGGAGCGGTTGGGTTCCGCACCTGCCCCATTGGTGGGCTGGCCGGAGCGCGCCCCCACCGCCACCGCCGCCACCTACCCCGCCCCCGGAGGCGGGGCCAGGTCCCGGTTGGGGATTCGCAGCCTGGGTCTTCGAGTTCGTGGGCTACGGTGCGTGGGTGAGCTCCCCCGACCACACTGGCACGATCCGCACGAGCGGCGGCTGGGTTGGATCCGCCATCGATCGACTGGGCGTCAAGATGCTCGGTTACTGGTGGGAGACCGCGGTCCTTTGCTTCGCCCTGGGCATCTTCACGTTCGTGTTGGGTGCCCTGGCCTTCATCGTCAACACCGCAGCCCAGCCTATGCTGTGGGCAGCCGGGGGGCTCCGCTGGGCGTGGTACCAGATTACCCAGTGCTGCCAGCGACGCGGAGGCGATGGGCCCGGCGCCCATCTCCCCCCGCCCCCTCCGACTCCCCTGCTGGTGCGCTGGCGCGGGCTGGGCTTGGGCGGCGTGGTGGAAACGGAGTTCTACACAAAGGGGGTCCGCGGCCGGGGAACCAATCGGGCATGCAACCACGTGCTCCTGCGCAAGCACGGGCAGGTGGCCCGCATCAGCTGCAACTTCGCGGACCGGTATCGACTGGACCGCCACGGACTCAACATCAAGATCGGGCAGGTTCTGGGGTGCACCAGTCGTAAGTGGCGGCTGAACCTCGAGGAGACAGGTAACGTGCATCTATGCCGTGCCGTCGAGTGCGCCTCCTGCCCAGTGGCGCACCCCATGCATGTCGACCAGTACGCGGCCATCGACCACACACAGATCGTGGACTTGGCTGAGCACGGTAAGGCCACAGCATGCCGGGCAGTCGGCGTGGGACTCCGGAAGGTAATCGGGGTCATCAAGTGGCTGCTCTGCTTGCCCTGGTCGGTACTTGGATGGCTGTGCCGGGGCCGGCCGGAGCCCCGCTACATCGCCGACGCCACGGGCTGCCGCCGCCTGGACATCGATTCGGAGAGCGAGGTGGAGGCGGAGGAGCGCCCCTGCCAAGCCGCACAAGTTGGGGTGCAGCTCGCAGGTTGCGCACGCCCCCTCCAGCCGGAGGGGTGCGGCGACCGAGGGATGCAGGAGGCGACTGTTCTGCTACAGGAGGATGCAGAGGTGTCGGATGTCCCAAGGCCGGGGCATTGTCTCAATGCACAGGTGCACCTCTGCGCCCACCATGCGCAGAAGTATCGGTCTACCGTGATCGGCCGCAAATGCAGCCCCCCCACTTGCCTCCGCATGGCGAAGGGTAGCTGTGGGGGGGGCCCGATGTGCGGGGAACATCTCCGACGGGACGAGGGCCGCACCGTGCGCGTCGAAGCGACGGTCCAACCAGGGATCCTCGGGGGTCTGCGCCGTCGCATGCGAGTGCGGGCTCCAAGCCCCGCCAGGGCGCGCGATTGGACCGCGCATGCCGCCGATGGGGTTGGCGTAGCGCCCGGGCCGGTCTACCCCCCGCCCGCTGCACCACCACCGCCCGCCGTGGCCCCATCCGTCGATGTTGAGCCCTCGGGGGTGCAGGCTCTAGCCTCTGGGCCGCAGCCGCGTCGTTCGCGCTCCGCGGAAGCAAGGGCCAGCGAACGCTCGCGGTCCGCCGACCGCGGAGCCCCGGGCGATCGGATCGCCCATCACGGGTGGCTTCAGGAGCCCATTCTCTTGAAGGTCTGCCCGATACTCCCGGGCGACCCTCGGGGAGCCGAGGAGGCGTATGGCGCGCCCCCGGCGAGTCCTTGGTACATTCTACTGGGAGAATGCGAGGGGCTCGACGCACGGGGGACTGGCGGGGACGCCCGACTTATCATCGGGACCAGCCTCGAGGGCGTCAGGGTGGAGGTCCCGGCCAGCGAGGTCGCGCGGCATCCCCCTCCGCTGGAGGACGGGCGCTACCCGATAGATTGGATCAATCGGCTGCTGTACGAGGTCCCCCAAGGCGCGCGGGAAGTGGGGTTGCGTGTCATCGCCCACCACATCCCGCAGGATCTGCTGGCGATGCTACGCCAGGAGCAGTGGGGCGGTGTGGGCGTGGAAAGCGCGAGCGGCTGGAGGCGGCGCTACCTGACGAGCACGGAACGCCAGCAGCTGCAGCACGACCCGGTACGCACGCTCGGCCACCACCGGCGGGGCGGCGCGCAGGGGGCGCAACCTGCGCCCGGGATGGAGGGCTTGCCCCGCCCAGCCCCCGTGGCGGCTCCGCCACGCTTGGCAGCGGCCGCCGCCGGCGTGAGCGAGGGTGCTGAGGAGCCCGGTCCCTTCGAAATATTTATGGATACCTTACGAGCCGAGGATCTCAAGGGACGAGGGGGCCAAGCGGCGTCCCTCAGCGCACTAGGTATGACCGCGGACCTGCTCGGGATTCCGCTTCATCAGGCGGACCGGCAGCTGCGGCGGAGAGTCGCACAGGTGGCAGCGGCGGGCCCCCGGGGGCCCGATCTGGAGCGCGCCCTGGCGGATTTGGAGGATGCGCAGCTGGAAGCGCGCGCGAGAGCGTGCTGCGGCCAGCGACAAGGTTCCCCTGCAGGGCAGCCTCTCACTCGAGGGCTCGCGGAGCCGCTCGGCGCGGGGACGGGGTCCCAGCCCGAGGCAGGCACCCCGTCGCGAGCTCTTCGGGGCCATGCCCCCCGTCCAACCCACGGGCCCAC